CCTGACACAAACTTTAGTTACTGCAAAAGTAGTGTTTGTCTTTAGGACTGCAAATACTGAGTGTGTTTACTGGAATGCTGGACTGAGTGCTGAAATACAGGGCTCTGCCTGAGGTTAACCTAAAATCTTACATTGCAGCTGCAAAAGGAAGTGTTGACCCCAGAGGAGGCCCAGTCTGTCCGAGAGCATTTGGGGTACCAAGGCAATGACCTTCTCATTGTTCAGATAGAAGGCAGGAAGCCCAATTTCGAAGTGGGATCCTCAAGTCAGCTCAAACTTTCCTTTGCCAAGAAACCTGGTCCTTCAGGTAAGGAGTGGTGCGTGCTAAATGTCTGAATTGCCTGCCTCTCAGTGACAAGTATCCCTTGGAATAGGGAAGCAGCTCTGGGGTAGGGAATACTACAGTAAAAAGCTGTGAAGCGGGGATTTCCAGAGTTGTTTGAACTCATATTTGTCGGGACTAGATGGAGCAGAGGCTGGAGTAACTACTATTTCTTCCTTTGTTTTGGCTCCAGGAAAACCCTCTGTGGACCCAGCGGCTGCCAAGCTGTGGACCCTCTCTGCTAGTGATATGAATGATGAAGAGATGGTATGTGGTTCTGTTTGTGAGGGTTTGCTGTTGTTCCTTCTCTCTCCTCTTCTCTCCTATTCTAAATAGTTTCAGTCGTGCTGAGGAGAATCATGGACTCTGGCAACTCTGTAAGAGTCAGAAATCGAAATCCCTTTATTGCTGATACAAGTGCGCTTATATGTCTTCCTAGCAACTGAGCACACTTAAACAGAAGGCTTGACTGGTTACCTGCATTCCTCACACACTGTTCACACGCCTAAGACTAACATTTGATTGGTTATTAACCCCTGTCCATAATACACCAGACAACTCATTGGCTACAAGTTAGTTACTGCTATCCTAAAGCCTATTGGTTAATTAAATCTTACAAGCACAAACACAATGTTCTATACACTTTTAGCTCAAGGTAGAAAACTTTCCACTGTTTAAGAAATGACCAGATGTTTTCCATTAACCATAGCCTGGCATGTTTTTTTCAGGCAAAGCTCAGCATCCTTATCTTGTTTTTCTGCATTCCTGTTTGCTACTCCCAAGGCTTCTGGCTCACCAAGGTCAAGATGTTCTCATCATTCACCAGCTGTAGAGCTCTCTCAGTTCTTCCTCTTTTTGCGTCCCTTTTGTGATGTAGCCAAAGTCTTGCTCTTGTCCAACGTGGCCATTGTCCTCCAAAAACGATCCCACGTCATGCCTCTTGGGAAGCTTTACAACTTAAAGAGTAGAAAAACACCCACAGGGCAAAATATCTCATCTGCTATGTGAGGTCTTGAGAGCCCAGAGGTGTGGCGAGGGTGGAGAGGAGACATGGGTAAGAGGGCACAGCTGCAGCACTTTAATGCTAGTGCTACAGATAGCACCATTTCTTTGAACATAGCACAGTAATGTAATTCTCTCCTGACAAATCAGTTTCCTCCGTGTTATCTTCCATGGTATATTTTCAGGATCTTCTGGACTCTGATGAGCTGTTGGACTCGGAAGATTTGAAAAAGCCAGACCCATTGTCCCTCAGAGCTCCATCCTGCAAAGAAACGGGCAAAAAGAAAGCCTGCAAGAACTGGTCAGTGCTGGGATCAGCATGTTGGTGAACTTTTTAACTGTAACGTTAAACCCTTAGAGCTGGGTGGATTTTAAAAAGATTGTAGACTCTGCTGGTTTTCAGAGCATAATTCTCTTGGTCATGTCCTTTCTTAACTATTGAAATGTAAATCCAAATACAATGAGAATTGACTAGCCACACCAAAACTGCTACAAATTACCACACTGGTATGATCAATAGTTTTCTTGAAGGTGGAGACACAGTTTGTGCAGCCTTGACTAAAACCCTAGTTTCTCAAATTTCAAGGAGAAATAGCACATACAGCAAGTGCTGTAGAGTCATTTTCCACTCAGTTAAAACTTGAGGAGTGTTTCATCACTTGTTATACAAACGACGGTGTTGAAGAGCAAAGTGAAGGGTGTGAGAGTCCCAGGGTCGGCTGTGTTGTGTCACGGCGAGGGCTGTTGCATGTGAGCAGGGCTGGAACAAGTGTTGGTGACTCGCAGCATGCAAGTGATGTCTTTATTTTCCTACAGCACATGTGGCCTGGCTGAAGAGCTGGAACAGGAGAAGAAGAGCTCACAGCCCAAATCTGCCTGTGGAAATGTAAATAGTATTTTTTTGTTTCTATACTGTGGTATGCAGGGTGTGATTTGTGTCCAAGAACTGTGTTCTCTAGCGACTGCTCCCTAAGCCAGTTCCCTGCTTCCAAACTCTGCTTGTGCAGCTTCTGCAGAGCTTCACCCTGCTGCCCTGCGCCCGTGGGCTCCGTGCCAGTGCGTGCTGTCTGTTCCAGCGCCAGTGCCGCCCGTGTAAGAGTTGGTGTGACCAGTGAAGCTTTACCTCCCTGCTCACACACTGCCCAGGGTCCTGCTTGGGGAGGATCACCTTATGGGAGCCCAGGGGGACCCGGGAGTGCTTAGGGGGCTGCCTGAGCCACCGCCTGGGTTGGAAACTTGCTTCTTCTATGTGAGCACCATGCCCTGCACAGCTCTGCTAACCAGATGTGTGTTGAGCAGAGGGTAGAAGGGAGGTGGTGTCTGTGCTGTTAGATGCTGAGGAACGTGTCGTCTTTTAAGCTGGAAAAACCATATCACAGGGGGAGAGAACTGAAAGTTGCCCCTGATTACAGAAGGTGCTTTTCTTTCTCTTGCTAGTGCTACCTGGGGGATGCGTTCCGCTGTGCCAGCTGCCCTTACCTGGGGATGCCCGCCTTCAAGCCTGGGGAGAAGATTCTCCTGAAAGAGAACCAGCTGCATGATGCCTAACAAAGACATCTCTGGATGTCCTGCAAAGGACTCCTTTGCTTTTCCATCAGCCTGAGGTTCTTCCTGCAGTCCTCCTCATCCTCTCAAACTCATGCTCTCCAGCCAATACTCGTGGGGAGGGACACTGTGGTCACTGACACTGCTGTGAGCTCATCACCTGTAATCAGCCTGATACTCTTTGGTGACAAGTGGTCTTGTATGTATTAGACTTCATGTTATACCTTGTTTTAGCTGGCATGACTTGATACTGGGACGCTGGCCATCACAGCACATCCCACCAGCAGAGGGAAGTAAAATTGTCAGGTTGACCTCGTGTGCTTTGGGCAGGACCAATACTTCCCCAGGCACATGTCGTACAGCTTTAATTTGCCTTGATTTTTCCTGATCAATCAGCAGGTCTGGCTCAGCTTTCAAGGTGACGCTGGGCTCCTGCTCTCTTTGAAATTTGAACCTGCAGTTCCTTACCATGTGAAGGTGACTCAGCAGCTCCTGTAGCAAGTGGGGAGCAGGGAGTACACTTAGCAGTATGTACTCCTTGCAGCATATGTGAACTCCTTTGGTAAAGTCTGGCAGGCATGATGAATTTCCAAGTGTCTTGGGAGCCTGCCCACGATATCCCCTGCTCCCATTTATTTCCATCAAAATGACAAAGATTCAGTCCCACTGAGAAAACTGGGGCCCTTAAGGCAAGGAGCAGATTAAAGAAGATCTGTCTTATCCTCCCACAACATTTCTGTCCAACCTGAACTGATAATACGAGGGCATCCTGAGACTGTCACCTCTCTTAGTGGTTACCAAGTGAGTTACCTGCAGTGTCCAGTAAATAAGAACATAGCAATAAATTAATTTCTAGATGATCTGTGGTCACCATCTGCTCCCGCTCCACGAGATACTGACTACTCTTTATTTATTTGCATAATTACTGCTAGTGAAGCATCCATGCAGGTGTGGGATGGGGGAGCTGTTCACCTTCCGTGTCAGACTTGCTTCTCACCCAGGGAGGGAGGAGGAAGACCCAAAGCCGGTGTCTCAGCGGGGATTGCTTTGTTTGGAGCTCTTGCTCTATAGGATGTGACTGCTCATTGTGCTACCTGAGTTACACGCTAACCTCACAGGGTGAAAAGTGAGCTGGGATGAAAGGCTGTTCTGTCCTTGAAATAAAAGTGACTAATAGTAAAGCCTTTGTTTTAAGACTGGTATTAGTGGCATTCTAAGCGCGTCTCTCCTTTTACTCAGCCTCTCAGTGATTCTTGGAACCATTTAAATGTTGCACTGCATCTTGGAACTCTCCATAAATGGTTCCACTGAAGACATGACTCTAATGCATGATGCCCAGTCTAAAGAAACAGAATCAAGCTGCCTGGATTAATTTTTCATTTGTTCTAGATTTCAGAGAAAGAGGCTTTCTTTTGGTTGAGTGAGAAGACCCCTGTCCAACAAAACTGTTAGCGCTCCCATCCTGTGATCTAAATAATTGGGTAAAAGCCTCTGCACACCCATGACCTGTTGGGGTTTTTATTACCTTTTTTCAGCCTCACCGGTAGCAGAAGACCAGACCTCTTCATGTCTCCCTTGTGAAAGGTTCCTGATGAAGGCAGCCCTTAACCTGAACTCTGCTTTCCTTTCAGGAGTAAATAAGATAAAAGGGAGGAGACAGCAGAAGCTTTTGTTTTGCAGTGATTCACTCAACTGGAATTTAAACAAACTGGAAGCACTTTCAGATATGGCTGAGTTCAGTTAATGATGGTTAAGGCTATATAATCTTATTGTCTCTAAATAGTTACTTGCTCTTGCTGTGTAAGAGGCCCTCAAAGAGTGACAGTTTGACAGTGGAGCATCGCCTCCACTGGGAATAGTCTCCTGTCAGGCTGGTTTTGAGGAGCATTTATCCTTTTAGCCCCCTTCCCTTGTCTGCTACAGCCTCCAGTCACCCTGCCTGCCCTCCCCTCCTCCCACCCCTAGTCCTTTTGTCTGGCCACCCACCCCGTGCTTGGGAGGATGGCACTTGTCCCTGGGGGCTGAGCAAGCTGAGGCTGTGCCTAGAATAGAATATTTCAGTTGGAAGGGCCCTGCAACGATCATCTGGTCCAACTGTTTGCAATCGTGAAGAAAACTCATCCACATGGAGTAGATAAGCAGGCACTTCTTTATTCCAGCACTGGGGAACACGGGGGAGAGCTCCACCAAAATGTGTTCTCCAACAGGTACAAAACACAACATATTTATACACCTTTTCAGCCGATTCATGGTTACATAAGTTCCTTTACATAAAAATGCATAGAATAAATGCTTTTTAATTTGACCTTTACAACAATTGATTTTATCAGTTACCTCACCTTATCCGTATTCTTATTCTAAAGTAATCACTGGTCAACTTTACTGATTGTAATCCTTGATATTCAAACAAAAGAGGATATATTGATAGAAGTGATTAGCGTACTCATGCTCTTTCCTGGAAATCGTTATCATATGCAAATGTCTCTAACCCACGCGTGGTTATGTTGCACGGGGGTGCTCTGGTGCACGTCGATAGTCTTCCTCACCGTGTGCACTGACTGAACCCCATCTGTTGCCTATTGCAGGCGTGGTGACCTGGTTCAGGAACGGCACGGCGGCCAACCCCCGGCCGCTCGGGCCATCTGCTCACAGACACCAGTGTGGTGGACGGCAAATGGCGTTTTATTACTGAATGACACAGCCTTATATAGCTTGAGTTTACAACATCACTTCCGTCTGCTTACATCATAAACTAAACACTATAGGGAGAGGGGGCCTACCTTTCCGTACAGCGCGATATCTTCCGGCCGCCAGACCCTAACTACCACATTTCCCCCCTTCCCTATGCTCAAAATAAATGGGTAGAAAAACAATATAAAATACAAGGCACATTCGGTTAGTAACACCTAAGATGGCTAAAATTCTGTTAATATATGTAAATAGGTTAATAAAAACGTAACAAACTCAAGAGGTTATAATAAAAAACTTATACGCAACAAATAAGTAGAAAAGAGAAGACACTTGTTAATTATAGGACATACCTTACATATATAAAAATTAAACAAAGATTAATACCAGTGTTGTGCTCTTAAAGCAGCTGTTGACGTTCTACTAACATTAGATTAACTGTTTCTAATTGATTTTTAACAAACTGCACAAGCCTGTTCTTAAGACCCTAACTACCACACCCATCCTTGCGCATCCTCATTTCATCCTTTGGCTTATTTCCCAAACCAAACCCAGTTTCTTCTGGGACCTATTGTTTCAATTCAGAGTCCATAATGATTTCCACAGTCTTTGAGGCAAACAGAATACATAAAGTATACCTTTTCATGACTAGTCTAGTTACTTACTCCTAGGAACCTTAACATATCCTATGTTCTCACAGCCACTATAACCCTATATATACTATAACCACTCACATAACTAGAAATTAAAATCATATTATAAGTTTCAAATTATTTCATTAGGGTAATTGTAACATGGGGATCGTTGGTGGTCTCTAGCAGACTCTGGCGGTTTTTGGAGAAGAGCCTTCCTCAGCCTCTGTCTACACTTTTGAATGTAGCCTTTGGTTTATGTCTGCACTTTCTTACCTCCTGCCTAGCTTCAGCTAGTTCAGTATTTTTCAGAGGGCCTTAATCTTCAAGGACAGGGGTTCCTGATTAGGAGTCTCCCAATTTACGCAGGAAGCCTCTCCATTTACGCATTCCCCAGAAGGTGTTTATCACGCTTGCCAAGCCCAAGGACCTCTCTGCAACTGACAATATGTTGCAAGTGTTCGACTGATTGCTTAAGTTCTTATACTACCCTAAACATTTTTTTTTCCTTCACTAATTTTCCAACACTATTACTAACACAACTATAAACATTCCTTTAAGACATTGCAAATTTTGTAACCAAAAAGTGAGCCAATCCCACCATGATTGTTTTTTCATCTTTTCCCATTCTTGTATTGCCTTTTCAATAGATGATATGCCTGACTGTTGGATTTTGAAACCGTCAGCTATGTACGTACAAAACTCTTTTCCAGTTATAGCACAGGCACCCCCTTGACTGGCTAGTAGATAAGCTAAGGCCATTCTGTTTTGCAAGGTTACCATCCTAACTTGTAATAACTCAAAGGAGGTGCTATTTAACACTTTGACCATAGGGTTAGCCAGGTGCTTGACCAGGATACTCAATTTGTTTATGTAAGTTCCATATTTTCCCACAGCACACATGGGGCACGTTACATACCAAAACCTAGCTCCTTCGGTAATTACAGGATGGTCGCTGGTGTCTATCAGTCTTTTGCCTAAGAAGCCCGCTCAGTGGGGTTTTTTTTCATATCCAGAAGAGTGAGGCTAGCAAACCCGTATAACAGGAGCCACACCAGCCTGGAGGAAGTCATTCGTATGCATTATCTCCACATATCCAATAAGTCCCCGCCCAGGATCCAAAGGCTATGCTTCTATTTTTCCACATGGCAAATATAAAACCATCCATTCCTATAGTTACATTTTTCCCAGGTAAGTCGTTTTCCACTGTGGCATTACTGGACATAGTAATGTAATATTTACAGGTACTATTTCCAACACTCCATGGGTTCTCTTAATCCACTGGTAATTTTAGGATTGTGAACTCTGGTATTATTGTTGACATTACACCAATTTAAAATTATACTGTTACTGGTTACAGTTTCTTTACCTGCTTGGTAACAAAAGATTCCCTCTTGTGTATGGCCTAGAATGATTATAGGCTGTGGTTTCTCGTAAGGAGTGTAGTTTGGTTGTGGGAAGTCAGTATCACTAAACTAGAATTATTGATCAGGGTGTTATACTTACTGTGGCTCTATATTTAAATCCTAAACATAATTCTGGCCATCCTAAGGGAAAAATTCTCCAGGGAACTCCCGTCCACCCTGTCATTACCTGTGAGCAAATCCAACAATCAGTCATATTCACTGTCTGTGCAAAATTAACTTCCAGATTTTCATATGCATTGTCATGACCGTCTCCATCAATTATGGGCTCTATCCCCACTACACCCCATCCCAGAATACATAGTGTGAGAAATGTCCTCATCTTTTTGTTAGTCTCGTCACAGACACTCTGCCGATCCCACTCTCCGCTGAGGTCCCTCCAGCGGTGGGGCTGGTTTCACCTGAGTGAAAAGTATCCACAGTTCAAGCCTTTCAGCTTTGACTGCTGTGTGGGTGGTCAGGAGAACTTGAAATGGTCTTTTCCACTTTTCTTTAAGAGGCTCATTATTCCAGGTCCTGATGTATACTGAGTCTCCTGGATGATAGGGAGGCACTGGAACGTCCGAGGTCAGCGGGGAGGCTAAAACAACAAATCTCTGCAAAGATGAGAGTACTTTTCCTAAAGATGTTACATATTCCCTTAAACCATAGTTCCCCATTATATGACTGTCCCCTGGAAAAATGGTTATTTGATAGGGCCTTCCGTATAGGATTTCATAAGGGCTCACCTTTTCTTTGGAATTTGGTTGAATTCTTATTCTTAATAGGGATAAAGGAAGAGCCACCAGCCATTTAAGTGATGTTTCCTGGCAAATTTTACTAATTTGCCTCTTTGGGCTCTGATTCATCCTTTCCACCTCCCCACTAATTTGTGGTCTCCATGGGGTATGTAGATCTCACTTGATTCCCATCATTTTGGATAAGTTCTGCACCACCTCTGCTATAAAATGAGGTCTTCTCTCTGATGACATTCCCAACGGAACTCCGAATCTGGGTATTATTTCTTGTAATAGGTTTTTTGCTACTTCCCTAGCTTTGTTGGTGCGACAGGAAAAGGCTTCAGGCCATCCTGAACAGGTATCAACCAACACTAGCAGATACTGATATCCCTCTTGTTGAGGTAGTTCTGAAAAATCTATTTGCCAGTAGTCCCCAGGGCAAGTGCCTTTTTTTGTGCTTCCTATAGGGGGTCTCTTGTATGAAAGTGGGTTATTCTGTAAACAGGTTTTACACTTGCTGACCACACTTGTAACAATTCCTGCCATTCTTACGCTGAGCACTTGGCTTTTTAAGCTGTCCACAACAGCGTCTGCCCCCCAGTGTGTTGCATTATGTTTATCTTCAGCTAACTGTTTCATTACAGCCTGTGGTACTATGACTTGTTTATCTATAGTCACCCACCATCCCTTGGGATTTCGATGAGCTTTTAATATTTCAGCTAATTGATTATCCTGGCTCTGATATTCAGGTGCCCCTTTCAGCAGGTTTACCTGTTTGGATGGTACAGCAACTAAAATGCTTTTCTCTGCCACCTCCTTTGCCATTTTATCTGCTAATCGATTTCCTAGATTGACTGAGGTATGTCCAAACTGATGGGCTTTGCAACGCATAACGGCTACTTCTCTTGGTAACTGGACACTTTCTAGTAATTTCTTGATAAAGTCTCCATATTTGATTGGTGATCCTTGGGCTGATAGTAATACTCTTTCTTTCCATGGCTCCATGGGCATGCACTACTCCAAATGTATATTTGGTGTCTGTCCAGATGTTGGCTCTTTTTTCTTTTGATAGTTCTAATGCCTGTTGTAATGCTATCAGTTCTGCTTTTTGGGCTGAGGAGTTAATGGGTAAAGGTTGAGCTTCCACAACCTCAGTCTGAATTACCGCTGCATGGCTCGCTCTTCATTTTCCTTCTCACATGTAGCTGCTACCATCTGTAAACAGTTCTTCCTCAGAGTCCTCTGTGGAGTATCTCTTAAGTCTTCTCTGCTTGAGTATACCTGTTTGATGGTTTGGAGACAATCGTGTTGTAGCATTCCCTCCCCTTCAGACACAGAATCTAAAAACATTGTGGGGTTAAGAACAGTAGTTATCCTTACTTCCACATCTTCTTGCTCTAGGAGGACTAGTTGGTACTTTAGCCTCCTGCCTGGGGATAGCCAGTGGCCCCCCTTTTGCTCCAGTACAGAAACCACCATGTGAGGCACATAGACAGTCATTTTCTTTCCCTGTGTCCATTTCTGGGCTTCTTGAATTAGTAGAACGGTGGCAGCCACAGCTCTCAAACACACTGGCCATCCTCTGCTGACATTATCGAGCTGCTTAGAAAAATATCCTACAGCTCTTTTCCCTGACCCGGCTCTCTGAGTTAACACTCCCAGAGCTTGATGGAGGCTTTCATGCACAAAGAGTTCGAAGGGTTTGGTTAGATCAGGCAAGCCCAGGGCTGGGGCAGCCATCAAAGCCTTTTTTAGGGTTTCAAGGGCAGATCTGCACTCAGGAGTCCAGTGCAGTATCTCCTGTGACTCTCTGAGCATGTCATACAATGGCTTCACAATTAATCCATAACTAGGAATCCACAGTCGGCACCACCCGGCCATTCCCAAAAAGCTGCGTAGCTCCCGCACCGACTGTGGTTCTGGTGTTTGGCAAATCGCCTCCTTCCGCTCTGTTCCCAGGCTCCGCTGTCCCTGTGAAATGGTGAATCCCAAATAGAGGACCTGGGTCCTTGCTATCTGTGCCTTCTTCTTAGACACTCGGTAGCCGGCTTGCCCTAGAAAATTTAACAAGCTAATCGTTGTCTGAATGCACTCGTTCTGGGAGGAAGCAGCTATTAGAATGTCATCCACATACTGAAGGAGAGTTATGTTCTCATTTTCCTTTTTCCATATTTCCAGCTCCTTTGCCAGCTGGTTTCCAAACAAGGTGGAACTATTTTTGAACCCTTGTGGCAACACAGTCCACGTGAGTTGTGTCTTTCGTCCTGTAGTCGGGCTTTCCCATTCAAAGGCAAAAAGTGCCTGACTGTCTGGCTCCAGAGGTATGCAGAAGGAAGCATCTTTGATGTCCAATACTGTAAACCATTTATCATTTTCTTTGAACCTTGTTAATAGGGTGTACTGGTTAGCTACCACTGAGTGTATGTCCTTCACTATCTGATTAATAGCTCTAAGATCTTGTACTAATCTGTACTCGTCCGAATGGGGTTTCTTTACTGGCACAATGGGAGTATTGTAAACTGATTGACATTCTACTAGCAATTTATATTGCACAAACTTATTAATCAATTTTTCTAATCCCCTCCTTACTTCTAATTTTAAAGGATATTGCTTTTGCCTTACTGGTCGTGCATTAGGTTTCAGTTGTATTCTTACTGGCTCTGCTGATCTTGATCTCCCTGGAATATCGGTAGCCCAGACTAATGGTGTGACAGCATTTTCTACCTCCACTGGAATTTCTTCTTCCACTTTCAGCTGCTGCAACATAAGAACTTGGGCTTCCAGTGCTTTTCTTTCTGGAATATGTACCTGTATTTGTCTGTTATCAAACGTCACACGAGCGTCCAATTTACTTAATGTGTCCCCGCCTAGTAGAAGCATCAGACATTCTGGCATATGCAGAAATTGATGTGTTAACCAATTTTTACCTATTTTGAATTTCATAGGTTGAAAGAACGGTCTATTCTCCCTTTTTCCTGTGGCACCAACTACATTTACAGTGTCTTGGCTGAAAGCCCCTTTGCAGGTATTTAAATCGGAATACGCAGCCCCAGTGTCTACCAGAAAATCGACCTCCTTGTTCCCCAGTGTCGGTGTAGCCAGGGGCTCAGCTGGGGATGACTCCCCCCGCCCTCTTAATGCCTCATCCGGAGTCATCAATCTCACAGCATGTTCAGGCATAGCCCCCCCGGCTCCTTCCCTTCTCGGGCATTCCCTCTGCCAGTGCCCTCTTTCCTTGCAGATAGCACACTGGTCCCTACCCAGGAGCCGGCACTTATACCCATCCCTTCCAACTCCACCTCGGCCCCAGCCCCTGTAACCCCCTCTCCATGTCCCTTGTTCTGTTAATACAGTGATTAATCTCCTTTCCCAATTCTCCTCAATCACTTCCCTGCTGTTATACACTTTCCAGGCTGCTTCCAACAGCTTATTAAAGTTCCTCGAATCCTCCCCCTCCAGCTTTTGAAGTTTCTTTCGGATATCAGGGGCTGACTGCCCCACAAACAGAGTAACTAATTGCAAAGCATCCCCTTCCCTCTCAGGATCCAGATTTGTATGTCTCCGGGCTGCAGACATTAATCGCTCATGGAAATCAGAGGGAGACTCCTCTTTCCCTTGTATTACCTGATACAATTTGGACAGATTAAGAGCCTTTGGGATGGCATGTTTCATACCAAACACTAATAACCTCTGATATTTGGTTAATAATTCTATCTGAGCCGGGTTGTTTGGATCCCCTCGGGGATCCACTGGCAGGAAGTGATCATTTACATTTCCCGGTTGAGCGTTCTGGACATGTATTCTCTCAGCCTCTTCTTTTGCTTTAGCTATTACCATAGTTCTTTCATCAGAAGTTAACAGAGTATCTAACACTACCTGGGTATCATTCCAATCCAGATCTTGGGTTCTGATTATGGTCTCAAATACCTTTGATACTTTCTCCGGATCCTCGCTGTATGTCCCTGCTAATTCCTTCCATGACCTCAGGTCAGCTACTGAAAAGGGAACTTTAACTGTAACTGGCCTGTTACTCCCTACTTCTTGCTGAAGAGGGTCATGCAGTACCTCCTGAAGTTCCTTTCTTCTCCCGGTTCTCCCCGCAACAGGACTAAATCCTCCTTCTTCAGAACTTGAATCATTTTCGCCTTCTCTTCTCAGCCCCTCTCGCTTTGGTGACTCCTGCCTCCCTTGTCTTGGGGCTACCAATAAATCCACGTCCTCTCCCCCCGACTTTCCACTTTTAATACAATGCTTTCCAATACTAGATGCCGAACAACACGTCTTTAGTTTCTTTTCCCGATCCTTTTCTAAAGCTAAAACCATAGGGTCATTTGGCATTATACCACAATCTTTTTGCCATTCAGGATGATTTCGCAACAAAAAGAACAAATCAACATAAGGCAATTCCTTCCATTTCCCTTCCCGCTGGCAAAACAACATTAATTGTAATATAGTATTATAATTCAAGGTCCCATTCTTTGGCCACTTCTCTTTATCATCTAAAATGTACATTGGCCACCAATGATTACAGTACTCAATTAATTTTCTTCTGGTAAAAGGATCACTTCTAACATATTTTTCATGTTTTAATATACATCCCAAGGGTGACCTTTCCAAGATACCTCCCTCAGACCCCTTAGACGAGTGACTGGACCCCATACTGGAACACAATAAACAAATGATATTAAAACACAATAAACAAATGATGCATACAAAACCCACAGCAATGTCTAACAGAACAAATAGAACACAAAATACAGAATTATAGTTACAAAACACCACATTAACCCTGGCTAGCACTCCGGGCGACCCACAGTTACATGTAATCTAGCCTGCTGTCCCGGACTTTCCTTAACAGCCTGGTCCTGCGGGAATTTCTCCCGTCCCGTCTTACAGACAGGCTTTTCCCGGTGGGACTGAACCCGCGATCTTGGAATTACCTTTAGCGATGCCTTTCATAAAAACCAGGGGGCTTACGCTGAACTCACCGGATCAGGGGATCGGAGGATCTCCCCGAAAAACACTTCAGTGGTGCCGGAGTCCTCGCGATCCCGTGAATCCATTGAGCTTCAGGCAGTGTCCCACCGGAGTCACCAAATTGTCACCGAAATCGGGAATGAAAACTCCTTAACGCTGGGTTTAGCATTAACGAGCAGGCATTGCTTTATTCAGCCGGGGACACGAGGGAATCGTTCCACCTAACATGTCCGCCGTACCTTACCTCAACCAAGGCTTATATTGCTCTGTTACATACATATGTATCAAATTTCCCAGGCTAATTATCATATTTACATAGTAATTACGCATGTGGTTTGGGTCCCTGCAGAGCTCCCATGGTGGTCGCTGATGGTCTCTAGCGGTCTCTGGTGGCTTTTAGGAGAAGAACTTTTCTTGAACTTTGAACCTTTGAATTCTTCTTCCTTAGATGGTCGGGGGTTGGCTGCCTTCCTTTACGCTTTCTGTGAGAAACAAGCCCACGTATATATATAAAAAAAAGGTTTTATTGAGGACAAAGGTGGAGCAAAGAATCCATGGCTGGGTGCAATGGTGCACTCCCTCCTCAGCTGGGGCCTCTTTTTTTAGTTCCAGTCCTCCTTTTTTTATCTGCATAGTTCCTTCTTCTTGTTTTTTTCAGGGCTGTCTCTCCCTGCACTTTCCCACTGCTTCACTGCTTCTTATCACAAAACAGGCAGCTGCTGAGCGGGGGAGGCAGCTGCAGGGTTATAGGTAGGTAACCTTCGGTTTAAATGCCAAATCAAACAAAGAACGGTGCCACGCAGCCAAGCCAAGCAACAGGTCCAGTCTCCTTCCCATCCCCGTGGTCTCCGTGGTCCTCCGGTGGGGGGGATGAAGTCCAGATTCCTCTTCATCAGGAGCTCTTCGTTTAACCCTTCTTCTGCTGGCTTCCATTCCTCTTTACATGATACCTAACCACAGACACCCCCCCATCCCTTGCTTGCCCAACTCCCCACAATGCCCAACCATGTGCCTAACTTGGGATCAAAAAAGCCTTGCTTAACTGTCATAATTTTAACAACACTAATTTTTAATAACAGCTTTAGCCTAACTCGATAAAAGTAATTGTTTAATTACTTTTAGCAAAAGCAAAATTCTTCTGTTATTTATCACACTTTCTTCTCTCTTGCCAAGGTTCAGCCAGTTCATCATTCCTTAGAGGGTCTTAAACTTCCAGTGATCTGAGGAAACACTAACCTGCTAGCCCCCCCCTTCAGGGGGTGGTCACCAGATGGCCTCCATGAAGGGTGGTAACTCCTTTGCAAAGGAGTGAAAGAATAACAGGATGGGCCATCTGATGGCAATGGAATGAGAGACAGCACCAGCCATCCCTTGTCCTTGAGATAAGAAAGAAACTAAAACCACCGAGCCATAAAGACAAAGGAGCTGCAAATTAGCCCAGACCTGAAGGACAAGGTGTACGTGAGCACAGGACTGAGTTGGTGCAGAAATAAGGGTCAGCGAGCGAGCACAGTGAAGAAGACTACGAGCCTTCATCTGCAGACCCCTGCCCACCACCACCAGGGAGCACTGCGCAGGCGTGACGGGAGGGATTTGGGGTGGGGTGGATACGTTAATGATTTCTCAGAACTGATTGTAATATTCTCGTGATTGTGATGCATATGTATTAGAGTAGATGAATATGTAACGTTTTATACAATAAAAGGGAGCCACTTTCGGCTCCAGGCAGCGCACGCTTTTGGAGGAATGATTGCCCCGTGCGCCCAGCGCTGAATAAACATATCTACTTTATAACCTTACAGGTTGTAAAGTTGTTATTCCGCGTGTCACCAGGACAGGAGCTTCTGAATAGGAGTCTTTCAATCCACGCATTCCCCAAGCTGTGGTTGTCACTGCTCACCTAGCTCAAGGACCGTTGTGCACCAGGCAGTTCCAAGAGCTGGGCTGATTGCTTAAGTTCTTATTTAACCCTTAGCGCTTCTCTTAAACTTTCTATTACCCATTTTCCAGCCTGCTCACACCTCAAACAAGGCTGCTGAGAGCAGAAAGGGCTAAAACTCACACTGCTCTGTGGCACAGAGCGAGCTGTGCAGCTGCATGTGCGCTGGACCGGGGCCTCAGAGCTCCTGCTGCCTTAGGGCAGAGCCCTGAGACCTTGCTGGATCTGACTGCAGAAAACAGACTCCAAAACCTGTAAGGTTGTAAAGTAGGTACGTTTATTCAGCGCTGGGCAGCACGGGGGTGTCGCCCCACAACAATCGCGTGTGCCTACCGCGGCTGTTCGCCTTGTATTTATGCAGCAAAGTGTTGCTTATTCAGGAAACACCTGTACGTATTCATAAGCTCTCCCCGAAAACGGCAGCCTTTATGACAATGAGTTCCAAGAAATCATTTCCATAGTCTCATCCTTTGACGCCTCCCGGCTGCGCAGGCGCGGTGTCTCCTGGTGGTCGAGGGCCGGGGTCTCGGCGAGGAAGGCTGTATGTCCTCCTCACTATGCACTTTTCACCTTTTCTTCAAAACTTGCTCACTGCAGCTCCTTTCACAAGGTCAGCAGGACCGTTTTACTTTTTCAGCAAGTTCCTTATGCTAGTTCCTGTTTAAACATCTTACACAATGGCTAAGGCTATAGATATATGGCTTAAGCTAAACAATGGCTCTGCTATTAACCCTCAGGTGTTAGTTCCTTCTATCAGATCTGGCCATTGCATGTCTTCCATCTGATTCGGAGAATAAATAGTTAAATGTTAGTGCAATCTAGGGTAGCTCAGCAAATGTCAGGGCCTTCGTGGAGGTAAGGAAGTAGCCTTGAGCTGTGAGCACAGTGTATAAGATAGCAGGAACCACCTGCACGCAAAAGAGGAACCTGATTGTCTTTGTGAAGCAACTATCTAGTTGGTGAAGTTTTTGTGCCCAGTACTGTGTATTACGTGTTGAATTACTTTGGTCGATTTTATACGTGTAGCAAATGATCAGTGGCTTCCGATCTAACATTTTCAGTGCCCCATACATGGGGATCTTTCATGTAACCCAACCTTTGTCCTTTAATGCTTTAGTTGTGGGCAGGACGTCTGGGTGGAATTTGGAGACAATTTTTGGTGTGACAAATGTCAAGGAATTTGGTCTGACTGGGATAGAACTGAGCACTCGGGTGAGCTTGAAGGATCCTATTGTGGGAGTTTGGAAAATATAAAGAATCAGTAAAACTCTGACAGATTCTCAAAACTTAAAGTATGGGTGGAAAGCAGAGTGGGGGAATTTCAAAAAAGAGCCCTCTGGGCTGCATCTTAGCTCATTGGAAGGAAATCAGAGATACACCAGGCAAAAATGTCAATAAAAAAACCTTGATAAAGTACTGCAACCAATGGTGGCCCCTGTACAAATTAGATGATAATGAGAAACGGCCCCTTAACAGAACCTTGAATTATAATACCTTATTACAAACAATGCTGTTCTTAAGAAGAGAGGAAAAGTGGGATGAGGTCTCATGTGCAGATATGTTTTTCACCCTCCGGAATCACCCCAAGTACCAAACGGACTGTGGATTAACAAGCCCACAAGACCCAACGGTTTTGGCTTTAGAGAAAGAAAACAAGAAAGAGGGAAAAGGCAAGTTAGAGAGGTGTTGCTCAGCACGCAGTATAGGTCAAAGATGCACTAAGTTCGGGAAAATAAGGGGTCCCGAAGGGGGAGACCTGCTAGAACATTACAAGCCCCCAGTAAAAACACAACAAGAGGAAAGTGAGGTTCTGATCTGGGAACCCCCCCGGTAGCCCCATCTCCTCTTACACTCAGAGTAAAAGGGAAAAGGTGATGATACAAGCACCTCTGAGGGAAGCAGTGGGACAAGGGGGAGAGTCTGTTTTAATAAAGGTCCCCTTCTCCTCATTTGATCTTGAAACATGGAAAAATGTGGCCAAAAATTACTGGAGTGACTCTTTGGGGGTGGCCAAACACTTCCAGTTCTTGATAAACCAGCATAATCCTGACTGGAATGATATTCAGTTGTTATTAGATCACATGACAGAAACAGAGAAACAGCTAATATTGAAATCAGCCCAAGACCTGGCTAGTGACCATCTTAAGGATACGGAGGAGGACATAAAAGATTATTTCCCCTTACAGGATCCACATCGGAGCCCTAATAGAGGAGCACATATGAAGCTACTAAATACATACAGAGATTGGATAGTAAGAGGAATGGAGCGGGCTAGCCCCAAAACAATTAATTGGTCAGCTTTATATGCTGTTTGACAAGCCCCAGGGGATACCCCTTCGGAATTTTTAGATAAATTATGAGACACTATGAGCAGACACACCCCTCTGGACCTGGGATTGGGAATAGGAATTCAACAGTTAGTGTCTCTGTTTATTGGGCAATCAGCAAGTGATATCCAGAAGAAGTTGCAGAAATTAAATCCCGCAGAAAGCAGGCTGGAGACTGTATTAGACGATGCTTGGAGGGTGTTTAGCAACAGGGAAGAAGATAGTTAAAAGAGAGACCAGAGAGCACTGGTAGCGGCACTACAAGAAAATAAAGAATCGAGGAGTAGGGTGCCTGGAAGGCCTTTGAGAAAAGACCAGTGTGCATGATGTAAACAGAGGGAACATTGGAAAAATGAGTGTCCAGAGAGACAGGGAAGGAGAGGAAGAATACAGGCACACGTCAAAGAGGATTGACGGGAACCTAGGGAATCTACCCTGGTGTAACCCCACTGGTTACACTAAAGCTAGGGAAGAGACAACAGAGAACAGAATTTCTAGTAGATACTGGGGCAACATTTTCAGTTTTGAATCAAGCCTTAACGCCTATGGATGATGATTTTGTGATGGTAAGGGGAGCTACTGGCCAAAGTGAAAGGTCGTACTTTTTAAAACCTCTTAAATTTAAATTGGGTAAGCAATGGAGAATACATAAATTCTTAGATATCCCTAATTTGCCAAACCCCCTATTGGGCCGAGACCTAATAGAACAATTAAAAGCAAAAATAACATTCGAGGAGGGAAAAATAGAATTTCAAGTAGGGGATGACCAACCAGTTGAACTTTTGAGTCTGGCCCTTATAGATACTCCTGTTAGCCCAGGAGTACCTGAGGAAGTCCAGAACCAAGTATACCCAGGGGTGTGGGCCTCGGAGACACCAGGGAAAGTGAAAAACCCCTCCCCAATAATAGTCAGACTTAAACCAGGAGTGCAGCCTGTAAGAGTCAGACAATACCCCCTCAGGATGGAAGATAGGACAGGAATACAACCAATAATTGACCGGCTTATCAAAT